AAAAAAAAAAATTGGGGCAAAGAGGGCTGCTACCAGAAACGGGATGTGCAGACAAGTACTGCCCAATTCTCGTGTGCATGGTTGTGGAAGAACTGGACGCACTTGACGAGATCGCATTGCAGAAGAAGAGTAGAAGTACCGAAAGAGACAGGAGGTTGGATTTAAACAAATATTGCATCAGATGTTGTTGAGCTCCTCCCAACCTCCAAGTTTTAGTTAAGACCCAATGAAACAGTAACCAGTACGGACCAGTTTCGCGCAATTAGCCGTAAAAAGCAGGTTCAGCCGTGTCGAATGGAGTTCATCGGACAATATGTAACTGCTTGGTAGAATATGAACAGATATGTAAATATAATCAGTCATTTTTCCTCTGAACGGGTCGAATCCGAACACAGGCTGTTTACGGACATGCTATGAGTCGAATATCCGAAACACAGGCTGTTTAGGAAGCTCATCAATCCAAAGCCAAATTTGCATAACTATGGGCGATTGAGGTACAGTACTCACCAAAAAGTCTGCAGTTATTTTCCATGTACTCGTAGATTAACAACAACTGGTTCCCTCCAACACAACAGCCATAAAGCTTTACTAAATTCGGGTGTTGCAGTGCGGATACCATTCCTATTTCGTTGACAAATTCCCGAGTTCCCTGTTTCGACTTTGAAGAAAGTTGCTTCACCGCTATTATGGTCCCATCAAGTAATAAACCCTGTAATGATATTTACAAGTAGATTTCAGTACTACTCGATAATAATGCGAGAATTATTTATTTACTTCAAACTCCCTCGTGGGAATTCGATTGGCGATGTGCTTTCAGCTGTTAAATTGTTGGAAGAGATATCTCTGTTTCAAGAAATTAACAGAATGCATATGTAAAAACTATGCATTTGCACAAATGGTACAAGCAAATATAATGGAACTGCATTTCAGCTTAAATTGCAACATAATACAAGAAAGTTAATCGTGAGATGCTTACGTATTCTTGTTCCTTTCAAGAATCCAACTAGGAATTCATCCTGTAAGTCTATTTCTTGTCAAATACTTATGAAACATAAAGATAAAATGGTAGTTGCTCGTGAAGAAAATAGGCGAAACTAAAGAAATGAACAAGAACAAATGTACTTGCAGGAAATCAAGTCTTGTAAGATGAGCAAAAGAATCAGGAATTTCTCCGGTCAACTTAATAAAACTACAGGTCCCTACATTTCCAAAGTTCAACATAACATCTTCTGTCATGGCTGGAATACTACGTTCGGTATTAAGTGAAAACATGGAACTCAGAATCCATAACCAAAATAAAATAATTGTCAACAAAAATTCTTCACAAAAGATACATCTTACTCAAGTTTAAAGGTAATGGAGAATAATGCTGCCTCAATCAAATTTTATGTTAATTTAAAGGAACCAAGCCGAAAAGCGTGATATACTCACAGATTTTTCAATTTTTTCATGTCACCAATATATTCAGGGATTCCTCCTTGTAGCCAGCAACTCCTTAATATTCTATACAGAAGGGTTGAAGTTAGTGAAATCGGGTAGTCGGTATCCAAATTACCACAAGATTTCGGAAAAAAAAAGAAGTTAAAACTCATATGAATTCAATGGACTTCATATCACTTAGTACTGGAAAAGGTGATCCACCACCTATTAAATCACTTATCCTCCTGAAAGTCGAAAATGAGGGTGAATATCATTGTTCCACACGTGAAAAGAAATCAAAGAGAATCTATTATAAGACACTCACAAGTCAAGTAAGCTTGTGAGGAAGATATAGATGATGGGATTGGGCCTACAATAAAGCAACCTTGAATGTGCATGTGACAATGTCAAAAGTTAAACCATTTCAATATCGCTAATCATGCTTGCTCGAATATTTCTTTGGAAGCTTCCTTAATCACTTACCTAAACACATGCGTAATTGTTCAGTTAAGATAAGGCTACTCACAGTTTTTCAATTTGTCTTCAACTGCCGATAAAATATGGAATCCTTCCTCAGTGGACTGGCTTTCACCTTTTTCGAACTAATGACAATAGACTCTTTTGATCCAAGCTATGAAACTTGGACTGGCTTTCATCTTTTTCTTCCCCCTTTTTTTTTTTTATTTACACTTGTTTTGTAACTTGTGTACTTATATATGAAAAAAAGAAAAGTTATTATAGATTGTTATTGAAGAATTTTTTTTTATTTTTTTTGGGAACTCAATCTCTTTCCACAGTTTATCATGGGTGGAAGATGGAAATCATCATCCTCATCAAAACTATGGTCATTTCACCACATTAGTAGTTTAGTACATCAGACCGTATAATGGTTGAAAAAAAATATGTAGGACAATAGGAATGACGAATTAGGTATCAACTTCAAAGTTAGACAAAAATCTTTACTTTTTGTGGCCACTGAACTCGTCCAGTAAAGTGTTGCTCGTCTTTATGTTTCGGTGGACGATAGTCGCCACATGGGAAGTGTGTCAATATAAATCACACTTTCCTTTCCTATAGTTTATGCCGCTAGAAAGGACAAAGACCAGGACTAAGAGTCTAAAACTACGGCTGGGACTGCTAAAGATGTTCGATGTAGCTAGAGATCGTAAAATCACAAGGATCACCATTACTGCATAAATCTCTCTCTCAAACCAGACACGCACACATGTATATAAAAAGCTGATACGTAAAACTGCAAAGTAAACAGAAAATAGCATCACTGCAATAAGAGAAACCACAAACATTAAACAGGGTTGTCTAGTCAAAATAACAAAGGTAGAGGGCAACATTGGATAAACTTTAGTTACATAACAAGACACAATATTATATATTAAATTAAACAAAAAGCAGGAAAAGATGTCACCTAACAATTATACCTATATAACGTAGTCCAATACAGTAGGGGTAAGTATAAACATTAAGAGCTCGATCACCACTAATACCCAGATTCTCCATGTGTGTCGTCACACGATTGTAAAGCAGCTCAACCTTGGAGTTAAGAAGCAATTTATCATTCTCGAAGAGTCTCGTAACCCTTGTAATAGCAAGGTTAGAATGAAGAGAGAATGTAGACGCGAGAGCCCACTTGTCTCATCCCATACCAAAGCTCGAAACCAACTTAATATTCCATCTGAGCACCGAATCTGACTCTCATGGCAGCAAAATGAAAATCATATACAGCGGCAGCAAGCGACCTATGAAACTCAGCAAGCAAAATACTATAGGAGTTAACTTTTTTGTATGTTGGAAGAATACGAATAGCAGCACCTGAAAACTCATCCTTAACACAATCAAACAGTACAATAGCATAAACGTTATCCATTTTAAATAATATCAACCAATAAAAAATGTTATTTATGTGAACAAAAATGTTATTCAATGTGCGGAGGAAATACAAATATCCTTCCACAATCCCATCTTCATAGACAAGACTTGACGGGCGTCCCGTCATCATTAGAGTCCACTCGGACAACCGTGACGACCTTATAGTCCCCCAAGATGAATCCTATACGGCTATACCCATGAGTTTAGGAGTGAACATCCGTTTGTCGTCATCTTCCTAAACGTCGATAAGTGTTTTGCATTATCTGTGGAAAGGTCCCACAAAAGAAGCGTATCTACATCTTTTTCGTCGTCAAATGATGAGCCAAATAGTATCCATTTTTTGCACAAAACCCAAGAGTCACGCGATTAAGATGCGAGTCGGGAAAAGTTTGGACAATACTACCTGGTGCGACGGTGTTGTTTTCTATCGAGAAAACATAGCATCTGTCAGATCATTTCTCTATTTAGACAAACATCATCACGAGATAATCCTCGTTTTTATTCATAAAATCGCCACGAGGAGGGAAAAGTTGTTCAAGAGGGAGAAATTGTTTAAGAGGCGAATTTATGAATAAAAACGGATTATCTCATGATGATGATGTTGGTCTCAGTTATAGAGAAAGGTTCTAACAGATGCTATGTTTTCTTAGAAAATAATACCGTCACACTAGGAAGTAACAATACTTATCCAAACTTTTCCCGACTCACATCTTCATCACGTGACCTTTGGGCTTGGTGCCAAAAATAGATGCTATTTGACTTACCATTTGACGACGAAGAAGACGCTTCTTCTGTGGGAAGGGGTCCCACAGATTAATGCAAAACACTTATGTACGTTTAAGAAAACTATGATGACGACACACAGACGTTCACTCCCAAACTCATAGGTATACGACCTTGCATCTAGGACTATAACTCTATAAGGTGGTCACAGTTATCTAATGATGACAAGACGTCATGGGTTATGGGCAAGCCCAAGTCTTCATCCTCCGCAAATTGAATTCATGAGCATCCAAAACAACTTTGATCATATAAATAACATCTTTTATTGGTTGGTATTATTTAAAATTGATAATATTTATGTTATTATACAATTTAATTTGTTAAGGATGAGTTCCAGATGCTGTTATTTTTATGCCTCCAACAGACAAGAAATTAACTCCTTATAGTGTTTTGCTTGCTAAGTTTTAGGGATCGCTTGTTGCCGTTGTATATGATTTCTATTTTGATGCCATGAGAGTCGGATTGGGTGCTCAAATGGAACATATTTGGTTTAAAGCTTAAGGTATCGGATGAGCTCAACTTGTCTCGAGTCTACATCTCTTCTTCATACTGACCTTGCTATTAAAAGAGTTATAAGACTTTTCGATAATGATAAAGTGCTTCTTCTAAACTCCTAGCTGTTTTACAATCGTGTGACGACAGACATGGAAAATCTGGGTATTAGTGGTGATCGAGTTTTCGATGTTGACAGTTACCCGTATTACGTTAAGCGGGTGTAATTGTTAGATGGCATCTATCCCTGCTTTTTGTTAAATTTAATATACTATGTCTTGTTATAAGGTAATTAAATTGTCTCCATTGTTTTCCTCTACCCTCTGTTATTTGGACTAGAAAATCCAGTTTAATGTTTGTGGTTTCTCTTACTGCAGTGATATTACTTTCTTATTCTAGTAACTCTATGGCTACTTGATTTGAAATTTTTAAAGTGCAAAAAATATCCTAGTTACTTATTAACTAATATTTACAGAAGTAGGAGCTATAGAGGATTTCCTCATTAATTTTGAAAAATCATGAGTACCAAATACATGAGAAAAAAAAAAAAAAAATATTTAATAATGATAAAGGAAGATGTTTCACAAAAAATAATTTATAATAAAAGTTCATATTAATAATAACAACATACACAATATTTACACAATATTTACATTGTTGACAATAAAGTTATGGAGATTTAAAATAAGCTTTGAGATGATAACCTTATGAAGGGAAGTGTTGAACACACGTATAATCTTCTGGTTCAACATTTTTGTTTTTAGGGCTTGTTTTTCATCCAACAGGACAATAAGGCTTGTTAAATTTACGTACAAATTCCTTTTCCTTCGCGGGGCTTAGTTATTTAACTAGTGTGTATCCCGTGCGATGCACGGACGGGCTTTTTACTTAAAACTTTTTTTAAGACTTTATATTAAATATATTTATTTATGTTTAACATCTCATTATTGTAAGTAAATAAATACCAAATATAAAAAATTATATATATTTATAATAAACATGATACATTTAAGATCGACATTTAAATTTGTATTTGGATATGAGATGAAAAATGTATATGTACAAAAAAAGTACCAAGAACCCACACAAAATGAGATTTTTTTCTAAACTTTAAAATATTTTGTAGTTAAGTAAATATTGACAAAAAAAAATCATCAATAAACTATATAATTTATGATATCATTGACCATATTAACCCGTTGTATTTAAAGATATCACTGACCATATTTCTATGAATTAAGGTTTACAAAATATTTTTTTTTTCAAAATAACAATTTGTTTAATTTGAATTTTACTTTTTCATCCAGCCGTTATTTTCCACAGAAAATAAAAAATAAAAATAGTATTTTGGAAAATTATAGACGTGAAAATCAAATAAAAAATAATTTAATAGTAATTGATTAATTTAATATTTTTCAAAATTGTTTGATTAGGTTATAACCAAATTTGATTGAACTTATCAAATGAAATCAGATTTTATACCTAAAATAGTATACCTTCTGTTTGATTTCCCACAACAACAAAAAAGATCGTGTTTAAGGATCGTGCTTATCTCCTTAAACCCGATCTAACCTATTTTAGATTTTAAATATATAGTATATGGGATCTACATGAAACTTAAAGCAAACAATAGTTAGGAATATTAAATAAATTTTAAGAAATACAAGATTATCTCATATAGTTAGATAATCGTTTGATTTTATTCTAAACCAAAATGATTAGGCTTATCATATTATCATTTTAAGTTTTAATCCGCTTTAGTTTTTGAATTTTTTAGTTATCCAATGTTAACAAATTCTATGTTTGGATATGAGAATTTTTGGTTTTGTTGGATTTTTGGTTTGGTTTGGTTCGGTTAAGTTAATTTTGAAAATGTAGTATGGTTAATTGTTAGTAGAATAGTGGGCATATCAAAATAATATTTAAAATAAAATAATTAAAACTTTGATTTGATGGTTAGTTAAAAAAATATGAGTGGGTGAATAGTGAACTAAGGTTGATTGATATGTATGAATGATTGATTGATATTATTTAATTATATTAATAATATTGATAGTAATGTTGAGTTAAAGTTGAGTTCAAAAAAAATGGTTGGGTTAAAATGTTAGAAATTTCTTTTGCGAAATCTTGTATACAAACATCACAAAAAAAAAAAAAAAAAAAAAAAAAAAAAAAAAAAAAAAAAAAAAAAAAAAACTGGTATAGTGTAGATTCAAAAAATTTAAAAAATAAATTGATATATAATCTAAACTCAAATTCATTTAAATGTTGTATATGGTATTAATTTTAATTTATTGTGATGTAAAATCGTATCACGCATGCCTTGAATTATTGGTAGTCTTTCTTTTATTTTTTTAAGTATTAATGATATCAGCATCAGTTGTGATGTTATTGCCTCGCAGATTTGTATATCAAAGAGGATTTGTAAACACTAATTCTAATTTTATATAGAAACATGATTTGTTAATCAAATCAGATTTGTAAATCTTATTTCAAATTATTGGAAATTTATTAGCTGTATAGTCGATTTATAATTATATCTGCCTAAATTATGATTCTATTTCCAAACATGATTTGCAAATCAAATCGAATTTGTAAATCTTAATCATTATTTTTGTACATACATGATTTGTAAACCAAATCGAATTTGTAAATCTTATCTTATTATGAATCATTGAAAATTGATCACATGAAGTATAAAAATAAAAAAATTGGTAAAAATTAAAAAGATTTTTGGATAGATAGGAAAATTATAAAAGAATAACAAAACTGAATAGATTTTTATTTGAAGTTTAATAAACAAAACTTGATTTGAAAATGTTATAGGAAGCCATTGGATATCCTTTTTTTAATTTTATTTTTTATTAGTTGTAATTTATCTCAATGATATGTGAATTGAAAAAAAAAAAAATCACCTATGGTTGGATGTATGTCGTGATTGTATATATTATGGTTGGGTGTAAACAATTATATTTCATTTAATTTCCATTATTAATAATTCGAATTGTATGATGTTTTTTATTATTCTCCAACTTTTAATATCAATTGCCCATTAAGATCACATCATAAACATGTAAATGATATAAAGTAATAATTTTTTTAAAATCATTTGGCAGATAATATTCCAAATTCGACAATTCTATCGCGCCCCTAAAAATCAGAGGATATCACTTGAAAATTTATTTATCAATTAACAAATAACAATATCCTTTTAATAATTAACAATATCTAATTTTTTACCAAAATATTATCCAATTATTTATCATATCACATATAAATTAACAATATCCGATTTTTTTTTTTTTTTTTTTTTTT